AAGATCCCAGAATGTGTCCCATGACACTGTATCAGGAAGATAAACAGGAACTATATACTTCATCAGTCCACGGTTTTTCCAATAACAGAATTAAACAAAGTTCTAATTTCTATGTGAAAACAATGTTCCAGTTAATTGTAGAATTTTTTTTAGTTTTTCAAAAAGTATAGATACCCTTTCACCCTGACAAGAAGCATTCACATGTGAACAAGAAAAAACTGAAGAAACAACTCAAGCTCACCTTACTCCCTTCTGATCTACAACTACTACCAACACAGCAAGATGTGCGAGGCACATCTCAAGAGTTCCATGTTCCCACAGCTATGCCCCGTAATGAGACTGTGTTGCCATGAGTATTTTTCTTTTGTTCTACTGCCCAACTTGGAGTTCAGCTGACTTTCCCTGAATTTCACAGTAAGATTTAGAACCACAGAGAAAGAAGCCATCAGATGCCTTTCCCAGCATACACTACCTACTGAAATATCCACAGAATTTCTGCCTTTTAGAATAAGAGGGAGTCCTTATATTGCAAAAGCCTTTCAAGTATTCTATCACTTCCTGTTACTCATTTGAATCTCTTTCTTTTTTTTAATTTTTAATTGTTTTTTTAAAAATAAATGACAGCGGAATGTTATAATTCTTATTACACATATACAGCACAGTTTTTCATATCTCTGGTTGTATATAAAGTATGTTGACACCAATTCGTGTCTTCATACATGTACGTTGGATAATGATGTCCATCACATTCCACTATCTTTGATAACCTCATTTGTATCTCAACAGATTCTATAAACTCCTTGGGAAGGACATATCTCTCTCAGTCACTATCTCCAATGCCCCCAACACAGAGCCCAAAACAGGGTTACACTGTGGTTAAGCATTTGTAAAATAAGGAGGATAAACAGGAAGATACGTAAAGTCACTTAAACTTTAGTGCATATGAATTTCTTCTGGTCCTTTCCTAAGAAAGTTTGGCTGTATCATCCATTATGTAGGAAGAATTAAGAAAGCCCTGCAGAGAAGCAAGCCTAAGGGAAGCTCCTCTTCATTCTGCCATGAAGGATTGCCCTGGATTGAATTAAAGAAGCATGTTCTCCAAAGAAAGCCCCAGACTCTTGCTTGAAAGCCATATAAAAAGTACAATGTTTTTCTGTGGAAGTCTCACCACACTTCAAAAATCTATTTCAACAAGACATGAATAATTGGCAGTTGTTGCTGAATGTAAGGTAATTTTAAAAGCAGAGAATCGCTGGTAGGGTAGCCACACCTATAAATCCCAGCTACAAGTTGGAGGGCCAGCGTGAGCAATTTAGGGAGACCCTTTCTCAAAAAGTAAAATGGATTAGGAATGCATCACAGTGGTAAAACATCTCTAGGATCAATTCCTAACACAGCAAAAAAAAAAAAAAAAAAAAAAAAGTAGTAGTTACAGAGATCCTAATCTTCTAATCTTTCAGACTTTTTTCTAACCCCTGAATGCCTTCTCCAGTATTCAAGCAATCATTAGTCAACATTTAAAAAAAAAAGTCAAATTTGCAGAATTTTATCAAGCCAGTGCAATATGATCAAAGGTTAAAAATCCAGTTCCTGGAGTCAGATAAACTTGAGGTTAAAATCTGGTTCCACTACTTACTTGAAAACTCTGTGGGCCTGAGTTTTCACATCTGAAAGAATTAACAAGGCCTATCTTATGGAGTTACAGTAATGTTTAAATAGGACCCCATATAAAATGCTTACCATTAGGTAGTACTCAAGAAATGTGGGGCTGAGGATGTGGTAGCGTGCTCGCCTAGCATACGTGAAGCACTGGGTTCGATTCTCAGCACCACATAAAAATCAAATAAAGATAGTGTGTCCACCTAAAGCTAAAAAATAAATATTAAAAGAAAGAAAGAAATGTGTACCATCACTTGGAGACCTAGGTACCCATTCTATCACCACCTCCCTGTGTATCCTCAAGATAATCATTCATTGTAAAGCTAATGAAAACTAGGAGACAGAACTAACTGCCCTCTAAGGCCAGCATTATCAATCATGAATAAGGTAACCGGAAAACACACCAAAACTTCAAACAGGCCGGGCATAGTAGCACACACCTGTAATCCCAGTGGCTCAGGAGGCTGAAGCAGGAGGATCACAAGTTCAAAGCCAGTCTCAGCAACTTAGCAAGGCCCTAAGCAACTTAGGGAGATTCTGTCTCTAAATAAAATATAAAAAAGGGCTGGGGATCTGGCTCAGTGGTTAATCACCCCTGTACCAAAAAAGCACCTCAGTACCAAAGAAAAGCCTTAAACAAATTCCAAATAATTTGTGTTGTACTTGAAGCTTGTTTGCATATGTTTGATTACTGAAGACTCAGCATTAGATAATCAAAATGAAAAAGCCTAACAGCCAAATTTCAAAGCAGCTGGGGGTGTAGCTCAGAGGCCAAGCACTTATCTCCATGAGCAAGGCCCCTATCTATATATAAATAAATAAATAGATAAATTAATATCTGATATTCTCAAATATTCACTGCTGCTATAGATGGTGAACTTCATGAAACTACTGGTGGGGGCTGGGTAGAGAACCTTAACAACATTGGCTTAAATACTGTCTTATGGGCTGTAGGTATAGTTCACATCTAGCATGTGCCAGACCCTGGATTCAATCCTCAACACCACACACACACACACACACACAAAAAAAAAAAAAAAAACCTACAAGAGTTTCAAAGAGTGCAAGAGGCAAACCAGGTTCCTTCCTTTCCCTCGCTGCTTTTGTTTGGATCTAGAATGGCTACCAAAAACCCTGTATTAAGACTTGGTCTCCAACTTGGTACTGCTGGGAGATAGTGAAACCTTTAAGAGAAGCCTAGTGGGAGGTCTAAGATCATGGGGGCACAACCTTGAAGGAGACTGTGGGACCCTGACCACTTCAACACTCTCTTTCAGTTCTGGTCATGAGATAAATGGTTTTGCCCCACAGCACTAGAACCGAAAAGCAACGGGGCCAACCAATCATAGACTGAAATCTCCAAAACTGTGAGCCAAAATAAACTTTTCTTCTTTATAAGTTGATTATCTCAGGTATCTGTTACAGATTAGAAAGCTGCTAATGCACTAACCTTGAGCTACCCAGTACTGGGATATTGTAGCCAACTGGTACTTTGGGAATGCATAGTAGGTAGAAACTTTCACATTGTAAAATTTCAATCCCTAGAAAAGCTATCATCTCAGTCTGTCCATTTGTCAGTCAGTCATGTGATCAGTTGGGGTCACAGTCAGTCTCTCTCTTCCTCCCTCTCTCAAAAAAAAAGGAAGATGAAAACTCAGACACCAATGGCATCTATTCACCAGAGTTGCAAAATCAATGGTAAACAAGACTGCAGTTGTTTTTATTCTATCAAAAATCTATAATCCAAGGCAAGAATATACTAAATGCTGCAGGAACCAGTCTGAAAATGCTAACTCCCTCAATTCTTTCTCCTTTTGAACTTTTCACTCCAAAATACTCATATAGAAAATACAAAATTTTGTTAACTATTAAATACACACATCTATTCTACTGAAATTTACAAAGATTGCTTTTCATAAATAGTAAGGACATATTATTATATTTCAAACACTTCTGTATCTCTTTGACCTGCACAACACAGCTGCTTCAATAGTTATTTAAGAAACAGAAATTTCAAGTTAAGTATTATTCACATGCACAAGAAGACAATGTACAAGAATATTTATTGCAGCTTTGTTTATAATAAGTTTGGGAARCAATATAAATGTCCATTGAAGACAGGGAGAATGCATAAAGTACAATATACCCATAATGAAAATCACATAAGGTAAAATGGAAAAACTTTTAGCTACCAGCTGAAATTGAGGTTATTATATGGATAAATCCTAAACATGATACAAAACAAAAGAAAATCAGGTTGTGGAGTGATACAAATATTATAATACTATTTATATAAGATTTTTAAATCTTCAACATTATATTTGCCTTAGAATTTGTTACTATAGTCCTGCTTATTCTAGGTATGCACACTAAAGATTACTAATCATATAAACTTCCCCAAATGGCAGAGAGGGATCCTGATTTAGTAATGAAAATTACTTAGCCCTTAAGATTAGGTGACATGCGTTCTCTGCATTCTGCTATTCATCAAGAAACTCTATTTCACTGAGCTTCAGTTTTCCTCACCTAAATGGGTTGATAACTCTTGCCTTGCAAGCTGAGAAAAATAATTAATGGGGAAATGTTTCACTGAAGATTTTAGACGTTTGTTAGTTTTTTGTTGTTGTTTTGCGGGTTTGGGGGGGKTTTTTGTTGTTGTTGTGGTTGTGGTTGTTGTTTGGCCTAATCAGTGAAGAGGTAAGGTAATAACGAAAAAAGCTGAGTCTGTGCCTTTTACACGTTTAGTATATTGTAGACAATGTCCAAGAACACAGAAGGAAGGGGCAATCCCTCACCTTTCTCTTCCTAGTCCCAGATGCAGATGCCTCCTATGCTTTCTAAATTTAGCACGGGAAAGAGCGCTGTGAGACTGGCTTTCCACAGGCTTTTCCTGACCTTGGGATACATTTTTCATCTCTCCATCTACCAAGCCACCCCGGCCCCAACATACACCCTCCCTCTGCAGCCGAGCAGGCTGAATAACCCAATCGTCCAGTACAAGAAAGAGACTGTAAAAAAATGACAATGAGATGTTGTTGGTGTTGGAAGATTCTGTTTGTTTTCTAACACGAAGAGGAAAAGTAATGTGGACTTTTAGCGCCCACTCTGCGGAGGGGAGAAGTGGAAACCTGGGCTTATTTGCAAGAAGTTCTGCAACTTGTTTCCACACAAAGACTGGCACACCGAGCCGCAGGCTCCATAGGTAACAGGACAGACACAGCGCTCTCCCCTTCTGGCACCTGGGGAACCACCATGATTGACACTGGGGCACGGACATACACCCAGCACATGAAATGCGCTTGGGGACCCCGCGTCCCCCAGGGCTGGTTGCTGCGCCTCACCTGTCTTAAAGACCATCTTGTCACCGTCCTTGGACCCGAAAGTCTTCAGCATGGACACGAAGAGCACCCCACAGGCATTCTGGATGCCGAACACCGACCCATTGCACCACGTAGCCGCCAGCATCACTAGCCAGCCCCAGCCGCCCTCGGGGGGCTCCCGGGGCTCCACCTCCACCTTCTCAGCGGCCGCCTCAGAGCCTTCCGAAGGTCCCGCGTCAGACAGAGGAGCGTCCCCCACAGGTGCGGGGCCGGGCGGCTGCTCCTCGCTCGTCCCCCGCACGGCGGCGGGTTCCTCCTGGGAGGGCACCATGGCCCGGGGCGGAGAGCGCGAAGGCGCGGGTTCCCGGCCCGCTCTCGAAGGAACAGGGAAAGCCGCGCGGGCGGATCAGGAGGCCGAGGCGAGGACGGTAGAGCCCTTGACTGGCAAGCAGGCGGGCGGCCAGCGGCGCAGAGACCGCCGCGAAGACTGCAGCGGCGCGCGAGCGCCTCTGGACTCAGGACTCGCGCCTCACAGTCCACAACCCCGCACTCCCGACGGAGCCCGCGGCCAGCGGCGGGTTCTTAAAGGCGCCCCCCGCCCGGCCGGCAGGGGGCGTGGCCGGCAGCGGGACGTGCCCCCAGAGCCCACAGATGATTGGGCCTCGAAAGGCGGAGGCGGGACGCCCCGTGGCGCAGGGCCCCGGGAGCCCGCTGGTGTCTGTGGCTGTGCGCGCGTCTGCCTTGGGGCCTGCTAACTGGAGGGCGCCGGGGTCACAAAGGTGCAGGTCACCCCTCCTCGGGAGTGTTAACAAGAGGGGCGCGTCTACTCCTAGGTACAGGTTGGGTCATCCGGTCAGTAGCACTGGGTCTTTACCCCCAACTCAGTGTCAGCGTCACAACCAAACTAACATCTCTTGGGTTTTTTTGTTTATTTTTTGGCGTTCACTTCTTCATGCTAATTATAAAATACATTATGCCACCTGCCTACTTAGGAAATCAGAAGAAAAAGAGGCCTTATTTACTTCATTCCTTCTGCATTCGTGTACAGTTTCCTTTGAATACTTGGCACATTGAAGATGCTCATTTTGGAAGACAGACTAAAATTCTAAAAACTTCAACCAACAAAGTATTTTTGAGACAGCTAGAAAACATTAATTTTCAAATATGTACAGTTGTTTTTACTTTAAACAATTACTAAAATCTTTATTCAACTCTGTCTTCCTGAGCATGAAGTGTCAATGTGCATGCCTAAAAAGTAGCTAACTTGGTGTGCAATATTGAGGACGATTTTTAATTTCTCATTTACTCAGATTCTTCACTTCAACCAAAGTCAAAATATGCCAACCACTTATGTGCTTATGTGCCCACCATTGTGGAGGAGTATACAGATGACTGCAATTAGTCACATATCTGCCTCTTGAAGCTAAAGTAGTAGGAAGAAAATAGAGTCCTGGGATAGAACAGGAGTCTCAAAGATGTGAGCCATTAAATTCTATGATAATGAAACTATTAAATTATCTTCAGAACTCTAAAGAAGAGCTTCGGCAAGTAGTCTTTGAGCTTAACCCTGAATGGTACACAGGACTTCAGTAGACCAAGATAAGCAAAGAGCATTTCTGCTAGAGAAAACAGTATAAACCAAGGAAAGCAGGGTATGCCTTAGAAACAGAGAACATAGCTCAAGTACGATTGGATTTAGAGATAAAGTTAAAATAGAACCATAGGTTGAATCTGGAATGGCCCCCAAAGGCCCATGTATTAAAGGATTGGTCCCCTAGCCTTCAGCACTATTAGGAAGTGGTGAAACCTTTAAGAGGTGGTGCCTACTAGAGATTCTTAGGTCATAAGATTCATGACTTCAGGTGGGGACATAACTCCGTTGATAGAGTGCTTGGCTCCCATGCACAAGACCCTGGGTTCAATCCCCAGCACCACCAAAAAAAAAAAAAAAAAAAAAAAAAAAATCATGACCTCAAAGAAGATTGGAGGATCCTGGTCTCTTCTTTCAGGTCCATAAGCAATGAGTCCACCATGGACTGAAACCTCCAAAACTATGAGTCAAAGTAGGCCTTCCTCTTCATAACTCACCTCAGATATTTGCTGCAGTTAGGGAAAGCTAACTAACATAAATAGTAAACTAAGAAGTAGTCTCACAAGTGCACAAATGAGTAAAGCTGTTATCCCAGCCTTGTCAGAAATAAGGCAAAGTCAAAAGCAAAAATGTAAAATCAGTAGAGATTTAATCAAATATAAACTATATAAACTCTAAAATTTTTTATATTAACCTCTATTTATTGACTTTGAAAGTTGTTCACAACATATTGTGCAAAAAAGCCCATATATATAGATAGATAGATAGATAGATATAGATATAGATATAGATATAGATATAGATATAGATATAGATATAGATATAGATATAGATATATTTCATAACCCAAATAAATACCCATGAGTCAATTTATTTATTAAATAAATAAATGGGGAGGGGAGCTGAGGTTGTAGCTCAATGATAGAGCACTTGCCTAGCACATGTAAGGCATTTGGTTCTATCCTCAGCACCACATAAAAATGAGTAAATAAAATAAAGATATGTGTACATCTATAACTAAAAACTTTTTTAAAAAAGTTTTTTAAACATAAAGGTATTGTGTCCATCTACAACTAAAAAAATTAATAATAATAAAATAAATGGGTGAAGGAAGGCAGACATATCTTTCCTGCGGAAGAATTCCCAAAAATGTATGACAGCTGGGCTTGGTGGTGTATACCTATAATCCCAGGAATTTGGGAGGCTGTGGCAACAGGGTCTCAAGTTCAAGGCCAGCCTCAGCAACTGAGCACAAATCTTAGCAACTTAGCAAAACCCTTGTCTCAAATAAAAAATTAAAAGGACTGAGGATGTAGCTCAGTGGTAAAGCACCCAGGGTTCAATCCCCAGTACCAAAAAAAATGGATGGGGGTATGCTTCATGACTTCCTTTTAAAGAGTGCAGTATGAAGAGGGGGGAATCGGAACCTTTAGACTGTGGAAACTGACAGACACTACTACCTCAACCAGGTGATAAAGTATGGATCTGTGTGTGATCTGTGATACAATGTGAAGATGGAACTTTACTTTTTTTTAATTTTTTCTTTCTTTTTTTGGCTTTCCCCTATGGTTTCATAGGTTTGATTTAACCTAATTTAACAACAAATTCCAACTGAGTGACATTCTACAAAACACCTGATAAATACTCTTCAAAACTGCCAAAGTCATCAAAAACAACTAAAAGTAGTCTAAGGAGACATAACATATCCTGGATCAGAAAAATCCTGGAACAAAAAAAATAATAATATGCAAAAACTAAGGAAATCTGAATTAAATATGGACTTCAGTTAACAATGTATCAATACTGGTTCACTAATTATAATAAATGTAGCATTTTAATGTAAGATATTAATAAGAGGAACTGAATGAGGGAATATTAATACTTACTCTGCAATATTTCTATAAATATAAAACTGTTCTGAAAAGTAAAGTCAGCTTTTTGTTTATTTGGGGTTTTTTTTTTGTTGTTTTACAATACTGGGGATTGAACCTGGGTGGGGTAGGGAGGGAATGGTGTTCTACCACTGAGCTATATTCACAGCCCTTTTTATTTTGAGATATGGTTTCACTACATTGCCCAGGGTAGCCTTGAACTTGAGATCCTCCTGCCTCAACCACCTGAATAGCTAGACTGTATTACAGGCATACCTGGCTAAAAAGTAAAGCTTATTTTAAAAGAGTATACAGAGCACAGTTCTATTATTGTAAACATGTTTATTTATGTGTACATAACAATGTATGAAATATGATATGGTTTATTTTGAAAGTTTCACCTTATATAAAATTGTTATATATAGTATTTATACACTGAGACTATGAAAATAGTTTTTATTTATAGCTTATTCTCAAAATTTGTTTCTATTTATTTGTCAACATTATTTCTAAGCATTATGCAGTGTACACTATTTTCAGATTAAAGTTTGGCACTTCTCAGAGGGATTGATCTATGAGCAGCTCTGACTTAAAGGATAAAAAAGTTAATGCCCACAATCACTTAGCACAGACTCAGGCATAGCAAGTTCTTGGGAAATGTTAACTATTACTATTATTATTGTTATTGATTACAAATAATGTAACTCATTGTTCCTGCTGACTCCCCATCACCACTATCTTATTGGAATCAAAGCAATTCAAATGGACTCACCTGTAATCCCCATCAACTTGTTTGGCTGTCGCAGGAGGATCACAAGTTAAAAGCCAACCTCAGTAACTTAGCAAGGACCTAAGCAACTTAGGGAAATCCTGTCTCAAAATAAAAAAATAAAAAGGGTTGGGGGTGGGCTGGGGTTGTGGCTCAGAGGTAGAGCGCTTGCCTAGCATGGGTGAGGCACTAGGTTCAATCCTCAGCACCATATATAAATAAATAAAGGTTCATTGGGAAAAGGGGGAGGGCTGGAGATGAGGTTCAGTCATAAGCATCCCTGGACTCAATCCCTAGTACCAAAAAAAAAAAAAGGTATTTTAAATGGATTACTTTGCAGTGTTGGGGATCAAACTCAGGACCCCTCAAACATACTAGGCAAGTGCTTTACCATATTAAAATATAAAACATTTAAATCTAGGAATTTAAACATATTTATCCTTAGCTATTACGTTATCTATACCTTAAGAGAATTTTTTTATTTTCCATCAATCACTACCCAACTCACAAATCACCATTTATCAAAACCTGGTTCAAAGTCTCTCATTGCTAATTATATCTATTTGGATAGGTTGAATCCAAGGCAAAGTATTCTCCCAGACCCCAGTCTGAGTGAAGGGTATGTGCTGAAGTACGCTAGTTATTCTAGGAATTGGCTTTACTTTTGTCTCCACTGCTTTCCATTGTTTCTCTCAAATTTCTAATGTAGTAAAAGAAAAGGTACCAGACATAGTGATGCACACCCATAATCCCAGCAATTGGAGGCAGAGGAAGGAGGATTGCAACTTTGAGGCCAACCTCTGCAATTTAGCAAGATGCTGTCTTAAAAAAAAAAAACAAAAAAAACAAAAACAAAAAAAAAAAACGTTCTTCCATCTTTTGCCATGGGAAGAAGGTCCTCACTAGATGCTGGCCCTGCAGTCTTGGACTTCCCAACCTCAGAACTACAAGAAATAAATCTCTGTTTCTTATAAATTACCTCATCTCAGGTAATCTTCTATAACAGCACAAAACAAATTAAAATACCTCCTTTCTCTTTTTCAGAATAGTGAAATCTTAATCTTCAAGGCTTAACTTTAAAATGGAACCCGCCTCTCTGAAGTCTTTATTGATCCTTTTTTCTAAACTGCCATATTTTATTCATAGCAATTTTTATAGTAGTTTTCAGTCTCCTGAAAGGGTAGGAATTTTAAGATAGGTCAGATCATATATCCCAAATCTTTTTTTCTTTTTAGTACCGGGGATTGAACCTACTGAGCTACATCCCTAACCCTTTTATTTTTTATGTTGCAACAAGGCCTCGCAAAGTTGCTGAGGCTGACTTTGAACTTGTGATCCTCCTCCTT